TCCTGCGTTATTTTCTACAAAACCTCCAACTCCTCTAAAAACCGACACACATGCACACACATATGAACGACACAGGCCAAAAGACTCTCTGACCATACACTTCTCCCCCACTACTTATATTATTATCCTCAAAACCTCAGCTATCCTGCTTCATTCCAGTAAAAAGCAACTTTTTTAATGAACTATATTTCAAATACAAAATAATAATAATAAGCTTGACCTATATCTAGTTTACAGCCTGGGATCTCTGACACTTTTTTAATTTGAGTTTGCCGTTTTTTCTCTTGTTATTTTATTTATTTAACCTTTTTATTCATGTCCACTTTCGTCTGGGCTGGCCTTTATTTTTCACATTTTTGTCTGAAAAAGCTGATCCAAAGCTGTGACAGAGGCTAAATGTGAAATCTAGTAATAGTCAGGCACACCCGCTTTATACATTTTATTCTACACTGGAAAAAGTCTAATCTTGAATTTAATACTTTAAATGTATGTTTTTATACTAGAGTCAAGGCATTTGGGGCTAGTATTATTTTCTTATTTTTATAAATATTGTCAAGTAATATTTTCTTGTTATTTTTGGCAGATCATTTTTCTGATTTGAAGCAGTATTTTATTTTCAAATATGTTTTTAAGTGATTTTTTCCAGTGTACAGATTGACAGATTGATTGACACACAATTCCAAACCGTGAAGAGACATTTTGAGTTGCTAAAATCCTCTCTGTGACGTCAACAGGAAGGGAGGGGTAATTGAGTGGATGGACTTATGGTCGAGAAAACATAACTAATCCCAACACAAAACGCTGTGTGACGTTGGCGTTTGTGGCTGTGAGGTCAAAGGTCTGATCCCACAGTTTAACATTTGGCCTTTTCCTTTGAGGGAGCGCTGGGGTGATGGCCAAGTCGGGACGGGGTCATGGGGAAGGACAGAGGAAGTGTGTCGTCCAGCGGCAGAAGAGAATTTATGTCCGTACACGTGTCTGCTAATCACATACGAGATTTATGAGACTTCAGCAGTTTGAGCAGTAGTAAAAGATTGCCACGTACTTCAAAAACTGCTCTGGTAATTTGGTATTTGGGCGTGAGTAAGTGAGATATTTCATTACATTAGATACAAAATAAAACAAGATATAAAATAGATAATGGATATTTCATGAGACTTTTGGAGCCATTTTGGTTAAACCTCAGCTTGTCATCAACACTAAGCAGGAGCTGGTGATTTTCTACTTGAATTTTTAGTTTTCTGAAGTTGGAAGCTGTTATCTTTGAGGAGTGTCCATGATATTTCTGTATAAAATCACAAGCATTTGGAGAAACTTCGGTCTTGGCGTCGTTTTAGCATCAATAAAACATGTCTTCTGTCTGTGACATGAGCTCAAAATCCTGCGTCATTTTCTACAAAAACCTCCAACTCCTCTAAAACCCACACACATGCACACAAACATACGAACGACACAGGCCAAAAGACTCTCTGACCATACACCTCTCCCCCACTACTCATAATATTATCCTCAAACCTCAGCTATCCTGCTTCATTCCAGTAAAACCCAACGTTGTCAATGACCTACATTTCAAATACAGAACTTCCCACAACCCTTTCCCTACATTTTTCAAACAAATTTCTATTTTTATTTATCATGTTATTGATTTTTTACGTCCTCTATCTATTCATGAGTTTCAGTGTTGACATTTTTTTGTAGTAAAGTACAGATTAAAACATAGATGCTAAAACGGCTATGATATGATAATTGTTTCGAGTCAATATTTGCTGATGAAGGAGAATCACAGGACATGATGATCCGGGACATTTATACACATGTATTTATCAACATTTATTGACAATGGTCGACCTGTTTGGACCAATGGCTGTTTAATTATCGGATCCGTTGTTTGTGAATTGATACCTTGTGATTCAGGTGCTACACACACATATATTTGTATTGAAACGAATGAAAACGTCAATTTGAGATGTACCATAAAGCGAAAAACAGTCCCACAGGGGTTTCTCAACTGATTCAGACTAATGTTGGTGTTCTGAGTCCGAATATCACATGCATTTTGCTCTATCAGGTCATCTTTTTGAAATACAGCCATAGTGTTACGGATTATGTACGTCTACGTTATTATGAATTCTGCTTATCAAATTTGATGGAGTAAATAAAAACTGAATGACTTTGGATACGTTGACTTTTATTTCTTGAGGAAAACGGAAAAAACGTCAAGGGTTTCTCAGCTGATGATCCGTAGAAATTAGTTTTTTACTCAAAATCGATTTAAAAAAAATATTTCTGTAGCAAAAAATCTTGACCTGATTGAGCAAAACCAAGGTCATTTTCGGACTCAGAGCATCAACATTAGTCTAATTTAGCTGAAAACCCTGGACTATTTTTAAACAATATTTTTTTGTTAGTGTAATCTACCAAGACACGAAGCACGACTATGGAGAACAGAAGCTACACAGATGGACAAAGACAAGATAAAATATAGTATAAGTGATCTGGCCTTGTGTAGGTCACAAAAACTCTGATTGTGTCACTTAATTACCCCACCCTTCCTGTTGACGTTACAGAGAGGATTTTAGCAACTCAAAATGTCTCTTCACGGTTTGGAATTGTGTATCAATCAATCAATCAGTACTGTACACTGGAAAAAAGTAACTTGAAAAAAATAATAAAACATAATTGAAAATAAGTAAAATACTGCTTCAAAAAAGAATAATGATCTGAAAAAAGAAGAAAATAGGACTTGACAATATTTATAAAAATAAGAAAATAATACTAGCCCCAAATGACTTGATTCTAGTAAAAAAACATACATTTCAAGTATTATTTACTTATTTATTAAACATGTTTGAGGTAGTTTATATTAAGTTTCTCTGTTTCTCAGCCTGAATTAACTGCTATTTGTGAATACACTTCCAGGTTGCTCTGATCTATCTCTCGTCTATTTGTCCCTTATTTTCAACACAACTTATGACATAACATCTCGTCATCACCATCGTCTCAGAAGCAGTGGCATAGAACGGCTTGGAATGCTCTGCCAAAGTGTCCTCCACATGAGAAACAATAACCGCGCCACTCAGATAAAGTCCAAAAGTCGCACACGCCTTCACGACTGTCTATTAGTGAGTTCTGTTGCATGTTGAAAAATATCCCTCAACTTTTTCACACCGTAGTAGACAGAATAGGGGCAGCAGGCTCTCAATTCAGGAAAAACAATGGCGCATAGATTGCGATATAAAACCTTTCCATCCAGATGACGACACAGGGACAAAGCAGCAGCTAAAAATCAGCGATGAGTTTGTGACGGGTCTGACTACTTAATTAGATGGATAAAGAGCGTGGGTCACGGGGGATCAGACAGCCATAGAAAATCAGGGGAGATGAGGCCCTCCAGAACCGCGGCAAAGGGGTGATGGGTGTGAGAAAGTCCCTGTGTCGTTTGCATGTCTGGTCCACGTCTGACTTCAGGAATGTGTCTGTCTGTACACACTTTTGAATAATTTGTAGTACATATGACCCGGGGTTCAAGGAGGGTGAGGTGATTCATTAGACAGAAAATCTACATTCCCAACTTAGTGGGTACAGACTGTTTTTTATAGTATTGACTGATTGGATATATACATCATGGTGTACAGTACTTCTCTGTTGTTATTGTACTATAATGATAAATGCCTTTCACTCAATACAGTAGAGTGAAAGTAACTAGTCTCATCACAGTCCTGTCAATTTACACGTCAGTAATGTATTTCTAAACCGGTACTGGATCTGAGTGACGAGTCATCACATTTCACATCGAGAAGCTTTGATCCCTGATCCAGACAAGGAATGAGGAGTTTGCATGTTCTCTGTCTGTGAGCTTCAGGCTGGATTCCCTCATCCGCCCTAATAAGCACTGCAGCAGTAGCTCACTGCTGAAGGCCCCAGAGGCATTGAGAGTTGGGAATAGATTTTTAAAACGCTTTTGCGAGTTTATTGATCTGCATGCTTTAGGTACTGACATCGAGATCAGCATGAGAGGATCTACAATCCACAAGACCAGAAACCAAAGACAGAAGCACAATCAGCTGTTTTCAATCAGCAAAATGTAAATACAATGTTGTGCCGAGGGCAGAATCTAATTAGGTATTGCCTTAAAGAATATTAAGTATTCCTTAGAAAAAGATTATTTTTATACAAATGGTAATTTTGCTCCAAAAATACCAAAAGTTAATATTAACAATAACATCCTTTACTTGTCCTGACTGTACAATGAGTCACTTTAAGTCACTTGCATAGGACTAAAAACCTGCTCTACTATTGTCACTGTTTCTTTAATCGCCATTTTTTTTGTACATAATATATCCCGAAAAGACTATATTTTCTGCCTTTAGCATGTTTGCACACTTCTGTCTTTTGCACAAATCTGAGTGATTCTACCCATGCCAAATGTGACATGTACATTTCTCCTGTGTGAGATCGATAAAGTCTATCTTATCTTCTCCTACAGGCGGGAAATGTCAGTGTTGCATCAACGGTTTAAGAGTACCAGCAATGAGGAGCACACAGCACAAAATAATTGAATAACTCTATAGTGAAACAGAATAAAATCTCTAACTTTGATGAGACACCTTCCCTCACAACCTTCCGTCCATCATTTATTTCCAACACGTGTCAAATGCAGAGAATAAACATCACTTTCATTCAAATCTCTAAATGCTAAACACCAAACTTCAGCCCCAGGGCGTCTGTGGCTGCAGCGGTACTTCACCAAAATTGAATCTAACCCATTATTCCTTTCCTCAGTTGATTTTAAACCAATCTTGAGCAGCGTTAACGGCGTTTGATGAAGTGACTCCCTAATGACATGTCCAGGTGTATTCCCAGGGTCTGGACTGGTCTCAGTGTGAGAGCTGAGTGTGCATCTCATTATGTCATTACGGGTCCGGGCCACTTGTAATAATCACGTTTTGGTGTTTTCTCATTGTAGCGTTGGGCAGACCCGTCCCGCTCTGAGCCACAGTCTATGGGTGAGAACCAAAACGAGACCCTCCGCCGCAGCTGCAGCTATTTGTCGTCTATGGGACACAAGGAGAGGTCAGGGTCAAATAAGTTCACAGGCACCGGGGCTTTCAGATGGTAATGACGCAGAGGCGCGTTCACAAAACACTGCAGCGATTAAAATGTCGTCTGTTTGTGAAGCGTCAGTCTCACGGTGATGTGTCAACTTTAGAGGACAGCACCGGCCCGCGACAAGTCCAGGGATCAAAACAAGACATGATGAAGAGGATGATGGAAAGACAATACAACAGTTAGTGTGAGATTAGTGTTCAGGATCTCAGGAGAAGAGGAGTGTTCACATATAAGATGGAGAAGGTTTTAAGATATGGGTGGGTTCACAGTCAAGTGTTACTTATAATATCTGGACTTTAAAAGGTTATAACTTAAAAACCTAAATTTACTATTATAGATTGGGAAAAAAAGATTTGAAACACAGACATATCAAAGAGAAAGTGTGGATGAAATCACTTCTTTTAAAAAGGAATAAATAATAATAATCAATACACATTTTTTCAAACGGATGTGATGGAAAATATTGGTCTGGAATCACATTTAATTGGTTTACTACATGAAAGTCATCACTTTGTTTCTATCCTGTGTCTCTCTCCGGTCTCACACTGGTCTCTCTCTGGTCTCTCTCTGGTCTCTCTCTGGTCTCTCTCTGGTCTCTCTCTGGTCTCTCTCTCTGATCTCGCTCTGGTTTCTCTCTGGTCTCTCTCTGGTCTCTCGGTGGTCTAACTCTGGTCTCTCTCTGGTCTCTCTCTGGTCTCTCTTTGGTCTCTCTCTGGTCTCTCTCTAATTTCTCTCTAGTCTCTCTCTGGTCTCTCTCTGGTCTCTCTCTGGTCTCTCTCTGGTCTCTCTCTGGTCTCTCATAGTCTCTCTCTGGTCTCTCTTTGGTCTCTCTCTGGTCTCTCACTGGTCTAACTCTGGTCTCTCTCTAGTCTCTCTCTGGTCTCTCTCTGATGTCTCTCTGGTCTCGCTCCGGTCTCTGTCTAGTTTCTCTCTGGTCTCTCTATGGTCTCTCTCTGTTCTCTCTCTGGTCTCTCTGGTCTCTCTCTGGTCTCTCTCTGGTCTCTCTCTGGTCTCTCTCTGGTCTCTCTCTGGTCTCACAGTCCTCTTTGCAGAGCAGATAAACTTGTTAAGAGCTCTCCTTTCTGTTTGATTCTGTTTGATTCTCTGATCTGTGAGAGCGAATTTGACGGTTTTGTAAATACATTATAACGACTATTGGGATTCAGGGCTGTAAAAAAACAAACGGAATTGAAACTGCAGATGTTATTGGTTCAGGAAGTAAATACAGATCAATCAATGCAAAAGCATAAGGTGAATTTAAGCATATGAAGTGAGAGCTTATATTTGACTTCTTCCCATTTTAGACTTTTACAGGAGAGAAGAAAGGAAACCCTAAAATGTATGTATTTGTTCATGTACAAAAATATGTTTGTATTCTGTGAAATATGTAAAGCCTGTAAATTACAATAATTAACTGTTTGGGTTTGATATAAATGAATGAACCATCTCTGAAACTATTGCTATTAGATGTGGATTTGGGCCGACAGTATTTTTCTTGAATTATATGTACCTGTAAAAAACTACTACTACTACTACTCCTACTTCTACTCCTACTACTCCTGCTCCTACTACTACTACTACTACTACTCCTCCTCCTACTACTACTACTCCTGCTCCTACTACTACTACTACTACTACTACTACTACTACTACTCCTCCTCCTACTACTACTACTGCTACTACTACTCCTCCTACTACTACTACTGCTACTACTACTACTACTTCTACTCCTACTACTACTACTACTACTGCTACTACTCCTCCTCCTAATACTACTACTACTTCTACTCCTACTTCTACTACTACTACTCATCCTCCTCCTCCTACTACTCCTGCTCCTACTACTACTACTCCTCCTCCTACTACTCCTGCTCCTACTACTACTACTCTACTACTACTCCTACTCTTCTAATCCTACTACCACTACTTTGGCATCAGGTCTCTCGGCACATTTTCAGTGAAGAGCGCCCTCCACTGGACATCACGTATATTTAATGCTACGTATATTTGTATGTTTGTCTGTACTTTGGTTGTCTGTTGTGTTTTGTATTGGCCTTTTATGTGTCTGACTTGTGAAAGATAAGATAGACTTTATAGTGAGAAGAGAAAATTTGCATCTCACAAATTGTTGATCATGTACAATGCACAATATAAAACATTGTCAATACTCAGTGGATATTTTACAGAAAGACAAAATACAAAAAAAGTCATTGAATTAGTATGCTTATATTTATATCTTAGTTATATTTGGGCATTTATTATATGTATTCAATCAACAGCCAAAAAATAAAATGGCGTAGGCTGAGAAATGTATTTAATAAGCTACTTTGAAATGTACATATTTCCTTAAGGAGCAGCAGCCGATAAACATTCAGTCAGAAATGCAACTTTATGGACAGATAGAAGTACAAGGTAAATACAATTTCACTTCCCAATTAAATCCTTACTAACTAGTGTCTCATAATAGCTTCTGAGACGGGCTTCCGCATCCAAACACCATATAATGAGCATTATATTGAGCGATTTATTATTGAGTGAGATGCCCTCGTCGTGGTTTCACAGGATCAAAGTGGGACCTATTTGTCCTGGTTTTCACACAACTGCTGCATGTCAATCACAGCCAACGCCCTCAGTGCAAACGAGAAAGACCCGCCCTCTGCCTCTGTCTCTAATTGGCGCGGATTAAAGCAGCTTTTACCACACTAAAGCTGATCTAAAGGCCGACCCGAGCCCACATTTCTAACTAAAGCACAACCCGCACTTTTAAAGGGTTAAATCTACAACAGCGGCTACAGGAAACACTGAGCGAGCTGAATGAGGCAAGAGACATCTGTGCAGAGACATGCAGAGACAATACTATTCTTCAAGGCTCAGTTTGAAAGCAATGGTTGGAGTATAGAGAGGGAATGCAAAAAATACTGCAAAATGTTGTGTAATTATCAAATCAGACTATCTGCAATATTGAGCTCATGAAGAGTCCTCTCATTTCAATTCAATGTATTCTTATATAGCCCTTAATTATAACAGCATTTATCTCAGAGGACTTTACAAAACCACTGAAATCGCCAACACAGATCAGAGAAACAGTTCAAACACAAATAATATAGAACACATGGGTATTGGTCCAGAGGGAGTTGACCAATGTCCATAAGTGTTGATAAATGTCCATAAATGTAGCAGAATCACCATAGTCCTTTTTCTTAGACACTGTCAATCCAACAGACTCCTGCATCAGAGGAAAAACTGTAAAACCCAATGGGAGAAATCTCGGGAAGATCCACATTGAGAGGGATCCACTCCACACAGACGGACTGAGGCTGTAGATCCAGGACTCAGACTGTAGAACGAGGACCAAGGCCACGCGGCGCAGGACTCAGACTGTAGAACGAGGACAGGGGCGGGTCTGAAGCAGCTCCCAGGCGGGGATCGGGCCTCTCCAACAAATTAGAAATATCTTGACTATATGGCTCAAATATTTTTTTTTTTACATTACATCTGATTATTTTTCTGTATGTACACACCGTTTTAACTTAAATACTATTGAAATCGAAACACTAAAATTGTACTCAAACTCCGGGTTTTTGCAGTGGACTATTTTATACCTTTCCCAAACAAAAAATATAAAAGCCATATAATAACACTTGAGTATGTTGTCTTAATATGAATAAATTGTTCTTTGGCTCAGACTATGTTCATGTTTTTCCAGCCAAAATGGTTTTGTTTTTGATTTTTTTGAGTATCCACAATACTTTGATGTATTTTTAGTAGTTTAGACCTTTATAAACATATTCTAAAATTCTAAAATTATTGTGTGTTTTTCTTCTGCTATAAAACATATGTCACATGTTTTGTATCAGAAGGAATCACATGGTCTTATCAAGCTCATGGTACCAGCCACATGTGTTTTTTATTTTCTTTTGTACATGTAGATTAATGGCTTTGTCTAATGTCTAAACTTCTCCCAATAATTGACAAATAGTGAAGCCAGAAAACCTGACAGAATCTTTCGTAAAAGGGAATGAGAAAATCAGAGTTACTTATTACTGTACTTTAACGAGAACGACAGTTGAAACTTAGAAGTGCATTTCCACGACTTTAAGGCTTTTATATTACTGATAGTATAAATGTCTGTGTCATTTACAAGCTTAAGGTCAAACAGTATTAACCAGAAAATACTTTAAGTCGGGGATCTCCAACCTTTTTCAAGCAGAGAGCTACTTTTATACAACAGAAGAGGCAGAGAGCTACTCCTTTTTGTCATTCATGTGATAATGACAGAACACGTGTAAAATATACCAGAATGCAGTATGACCCTATATTTATATTTATACTTATACATGACACTTAAGCATGTTTCAAAATGAATTAATTCAAGATCATGTGTTAAATTCTAAATCCTTTGGGGAGCTACCTTTAAGGGGTTGGCGAGCTACTGGAAGACCCCTGCTAACAACATTATCCCAACCCATATATCTGCTGAATCATATTAACCTATAGAAAAACGTATTGATCTAAAACGCAGTGTGGCGACGTCATCTGACTTGTTCTTCATGCGATTACAGACATTTTTATATTGACTGCTTAAAATAGATGTATATTCCTCATCTCGTGGTGGGACAAAAGCTGTTGTTTGTGAGGGGGGCGCTGGGGAAACTGGACTTGTGGAGGTTCCCAGACCAGCGCCTTCAGATCCTCTACGTCTTTGTCTTTGCATCGGGACCAATGAATGCAGCTCTTAGGCGCAGTTTGAATCAATAAGGACTAAATTAACGGCGACAAACGAAAAAAAGTCAAGTCCCATCGAGTCCTGCGCTGTGATTGATGGCAGGGATTGTTTAAGCAAACCGGGCCATCAGTCAAGTGCTGCAGTTATTATGAGATAAACGGGTAATTTTGATGGAGAAAGAAACCGTATGCGCCTTAGAACAAGTGCAAAGAGTAGATTATGTAAAACTCAAAAAAACATGTTTGATTAGATAAGTTAAAATAAGTTGAATTCACAGATATTATACTCTACAATATATAAGCTGTTCCGAAGTATTGAAAATCACATGGATAACTTTGATCTTTCTGTCAGTTTTGGAACAATGTTAAGTTTTATTGGAACTTGAAAAGACCATGTGATAAAACATTGAAAAAGTACTATTATTTTGTATTGGAAATGTGTCAGTGTCAAATGTCTCCTATTTTGTTTTTTCTTGTTTAAGTACTTGTCTTGCGCACACTGGGGACTTTTGATTATGGTATTCCAATGTGGTTTTACTGCAAATGGCAAATAAATGAATCTGAGTATTGAGCTACTTCCCTAGTTTCACCATTGAGTAAAGAATTGTCATGGCAACACTTTTATCTTTTACATATAGTGAGACAAATGTGGTTCAGAGGAAAAAAAACTAAAGTGAAAGTGATGTGGAAATGGAGTGGGATTCAATTAGTCTCCACTTCATTTTCTTTTGAAATATATTTACAATATATTATTAGTCTGTTATAATGACTTGTTTGTGACATACTCTATATATTCATTTAATTTCAAAGGTGCACTGCATTAATTAGCAGCAGCAGGCTTAGGCACAATCCCCACATAATTGCATAGACTCCTCTTGTCCCCTGCTGTGCTCTGCTCTGGTCGGACCGGTGTCAAGGACCTGGACTTGGTCTTTAGGAGGTGGACCCTCAATTAGCCAGAGCCACGCGTCCTTTAGGAGAAAGAGGAACTGCAGTCTCTAAACACTCACCTCTGACCGCAGTGTGTCGACCTCTGATCCCAGGTCCCAGGCCACAAAGCCTTTCCATCTGGAGCAGCTCTGTGAGAGTGTGAAGCTATTGAAGCTGAGAAACCTGCCCACGCCACGGTCCTGAACCAAACTCACCTCTGATCAGGGCCACGCGGGACGTCCCGTCTAATTGAGCCGCTGTAAGGAACAAGGCTTTCTCACAAACACGCTCTTCACAGGGGCTCCACCGCAGATACAATTATCCAGCAGTTTGGGAAGAACACAAATCCCTTTACTCCAGGATAAGAGAGATGTGAGAGAAAAAAAGAGAATTCGGGTTATTTTTGAAAATTCCCTGTTCAATATTCACCGCATTGTGGTAATGTGCCTTAAATTTAAACACTATTATGTCATTTTCAGGAACAAAAAATACTCAATAATCAACTGCATGTTGTTTGATTATGTTTCTTGAAAGAGAGAAGGGATTCCTCCTACTTTTGTCCATGGTCACTATAACGATAATCTCACTCTTGTATAATCTGTATCTTTTTCTATTGAGAATAATCTAGAGTTTAGTTAACATTTTAATTTTAATGCTCATGCAGCGAACGTGACTCTCCAGTAAGTTACACTATAATAAATAAGTCATTTATAATGAAGGTAACTAATAACATGTTATTGAGTAAAAGCCGTAAAACCTAAAGGATACGGTTAATTAACCTAATGGCACTCATTAACTAAATTGTGATCTATGTTTTTAAAAAAGGTGATAAGCAAATCAAAATTAAACAAATGTTGTAAATTGTGATCTACAAAACTATCCACGGCTCGCTGATGCCACCTGGTGGTGATGTTTGTTAATTTCATTTCAATGCAACCGCTAAAATATTTCACTCTGAAGACGTTTTTCTTCCATAAACATTGACAACTACTTTTTTGTTAAATAGTTTCCGAGATATTAAAACTCATTACAATTTAAAAGTCACTCAGTTTGAAAGGGATTTATAAATTCAGTAGCACCAGTTAGCACAGTATTAGCACGTCACGTGGACAACTAAAGGCTCGTGTTTTGGTGTAAATGCGACTCACCGTGACTTTAGAAAAGCACCATATCTGTTCTTTCTTCAGGTTTCTGTCAGTATTATACATCCATGGTTTCTGTCCAGTGACTTTTGAGGTGACGTCATTCTCCTCGTGGGGTGCGTGCGGCTCGCGGGGCATGCTGGGAGCGCGGACCATTGACCATATGATCACATTAGCACACAGACTAATGCCTTTAACTGTGACCATCACCACTATGAGGACATAATTAGAAAACTTAATTACAGACTCAAAGTCCAAATCAACACAGACACAGACAAACAAAAAACAGACAATACAAAACTCTAAAACCAAAAACATATTCTGCAGATGTGTAAGAAAATATAAAAGAAGTTCTCAGACCATTCAGGATAGAAAAGGAGTTTATTCTTGCTCTGTTTTACAAACTTTATTACAACATAAAGCTGATGAACAAAACTGAGTCTAATCTGGGAAATGCATGGAGACGGATGAAAGTAGATTTTATGGAGAGACGTCCATCCAAAATTAGGATTCATGAAATCCTAAACACATACACATGATGAACACCATACAATAAGGTCTGATCTTCAAAATAAAGTGCTCGCTTACAAATAACTTCAGATGAACTTCTTGTGTCTAATTTAAAAAAAAAACACTAAAATAAAACAGTCACGGGCGTCAAAATCATGGGATAAATAAAGTAAATCATTGCTGCAAATACCATAACGTTGAGCTTTAGACTGTGTCGAGTCCGCTGTGAATAGTGCGGTAATTACGACAAAGGGGAAAAACGTCATATTTGGGTTCTTTCACTCATAGCTGCAGAAAATTGTGCTTTTATTCCAACGCCACCTGGAAGCATTTTAAAACTTGATGTCCCAGTACTGTGGCGTCTCTTTGGGCGTCTCAAACTCATGAAAATCATACTCATCCTCAATCGCAGCCAGGTTTCTGTTGTCTGTAGGAGTTTCACTGTGGAACTGGGTTAAACTTCCATTCTCTATAAAAATATAACAAAAAGGGATGAATGTGAAATACTGTCATGATTTCAGGATATGTTTGTTTACGATCGTGTACCGGGGATGCAGTGGATCTGAGGCCTCTCCCATTTGCCCCCAGACTGACAGCGGACCAAGGGGTTGAGCCTCTGCTGGAAGCCCTCTGCGCAGTGGTAGCGAACAGCTGCGTTTGTGGGATATCTCGGTTTTACTTTACCAAATATGGAGGCGTTTCTGACTCTGGGAGGGGGACCACATGAGGCTGGAAGAGGCAGAAGAGTTCAGAGACGGGCATTGAATCACGTCACGTTTGGAGGATTACGTGACAATCTTTTATGTGAAGTGATGTATGAATATATGTTTTTGGCACACAGCTAAAGGCAGAAGCAAAATGTCTGGGATTACTTAAAGAAATGAATCACAAAACAAGCAATTTCTCATTTTATATAAAGCTGTTTTTCCTTCTGTACATATTGTATTGCATACTATTTCTTAAAACATACTCAAAATTTGACCCATTATCATAATTTATATTCTTATGACAAATGACAAAGACAAATGAGTACTGTATAGTAAAAATAGAAAAGGTTAAAATGTAGTAAATATGAAGGCTGTATTGGGTCTATTGTGTGTGTGTATAATTGAGAATGTTTTTTTAAATTTGTTTGCATAACTTATTATATCTGTATTCTTAGTAAGTTGGTGTGTAAGCTTTATTGTACAGCGCCTTTCACAGACCGAGTCACAAAGCGCTTTACAATTATTGGCATTTGTCCCTCACTCCACACAGAGATGGGAGCAGGGTCACCTACAGAAGGCCAGACTATTGTACATGTTTTTAGTGGTAAGGGAAACCTGGAGCACCTGGAGGAAACCTTTGCAGACACATGGAGAACATGTTTGAGTAGGTTCTCCACTGTTCCAAACGGGATTTGAACCCTGCTATCCACCGTGCCGCCCCGTTCTACTATCCTATCTAACCTGTTTACTGTCGATGTCTATACACATTTCTTTTTATACAGTAAGTGATTGTAGAGAATGCGATGAGGCTGCAGTGTCAGAGTCTCGGAGCAGGTGTCACTCACAGGTGCCCTTCTTGCAGGTGTAGGCCAAGTGGTAGTTACACGGCACATCGCTCCATCTGCCGCTGTCGTGCCAAACCATCACCACACAGTCCTCCCCCGACAGGAAGTAACTATCCGGCTGGCCCCTGTACCAGTTCTCATACAGCTGAAAGCAAAGCAAATGTACCAGTGTGTTTTTCAAGATTCAAGATTCAAGAATTTATTTGCAGTTAAACCACATTGGAAAAACCCAGTGTACACCAGAGTACACACCAGAGCTCCTGCCACTTTTATAACAATAATATTTAAGAGTTGCATATTTTAAGCCGCTATAGTTTTGTCACAATCTTTGAACAATGCAGCCTATAGATGCGGCAAATATATGTGTTTTCATTTTGTTAATTTGAGCACAGAAAGGGATGTAAACACGGCTCTCATTAGCTGTTGATTCCAGAGAAAATGACGATATTGTAGTACAGAACACAGAGAAGACATGAGCAAGTGTGTGAGAAATACACAGTGTCTGGTTTTAAGTTTTAGCAGGGATAGGACATGTTTTACTTTTTAGTATTCTCCCCAACACTGATAATGTATGTGGCTTTTAAAATAGGCTATCTTTTCTATCTATCTGTCTCTATCTGTTTAGTGTCTCTGTCTGAGTTTACCAGAGGGCTTCCATCCGACCAGCGAAAATCATCTTCAATTGCCTTGTCATTCAAACCGGTCCATTGGTATTCTTTGTAGAAATCTACAAACACAATACAAATCATTTTAGAATGACATAATTGCATAAATTAGGGAGGCCCGATTTATGGAAAAAAATATCGTTATCGCGATATTGGTACGTGCAATATCCATATCGAAAAGACGCGCAATAATTTTTTTTTATATATACATATTTTTTTCCTATATTATTGACAGCAAAATAGACAGACACATCAACATTCAACAAACAAATAAAAAAGTATATAAATATATGCTTATTCTTTGTTATTTGTCTCTTGCGTTTCGAAGCAGATTGCAATTTTAGGTGAAAGACAAAAATATCGTAATATCGTTATACTAAACACGCATATCACATATTGCTCTAATTTCCATTATTATATGACTTGGACCGTACGCGCGCTCTGATTGGTTGATTTGCGGTCTGATATTTTCCCATCTTGGACCGTTACCATGACAATTGGTCCACAGCCCGTATCACACAAAACCAGGTCGGACATGAACATACTTCACAAATATCTCAAAAGCATTTGTAAAGACACAGACGAGAGTCATATAATGAAACTTGCTCGGTCTGTGCAGAGAAATATCAGACCTTGGCCTTTTTGCACAGACCTCGCCACGGCTCGGTCTGTACATTAAGGCCGCGGTCTGATATTTCTCCATACAGACCTCGCGCTCGGTTAATAAGCCGTTAATATTGTGCAGCCCTAGAATGAATTCTGATATATATTCTGAGATAGGAGGATTTTCTTCTTCCGAGTGGATCCTCAAGACTATCTGTCCTCCCAATTGTTAATGACTCTGGTGATACTTGTGGAGAGAGCGGTTCTTTCCTAAAATTTGGGAAAATCCACCTACAGTATATACTTACCTTTGACTTTTAAACCTCGACAAGGAAACAATGTAAATCCATGTAACTAGCTCCAGGCTCAAAAACAGTTTGGTTCTATCTCTGCAGCAGTTTTCACAAGTATGTATTTTTAGCCTCTGTCACATCTTCAGAACAGCTTTTAATTAGTTCTCAGCTCAAAGTGTCAAATTGCGACTCACAGGTTCTGTCTTACAAGTATGCAATATGTTTTCTAACAAGATGAAGAAAGATGTAGTGGTCTGACTTTTCTGTTCATGTTTTATTCGTGGTGTTAATTGATCTTACTGTTGATAAAGCCTTGCTCCTCCGGGCTCATGATGGACACTAAATGCGCCCCCATCATCCTGCAGTGCTGCTCGGCCACCTCCCAGCTCAGACGCCGCCCAAAGTGACGGTAACACGAGCCCTGGAACTTGTCCCAGCCCACCTCACACAACTCCAGGTCTGAGATCACACAGACAGAGAGCAGAGAATATACATGTTATTGTCCCCACTACTTCTACTACTATAGTACTAATACCACAACTACTACTACTACTTCTACTGTGGCACTACTAAATGCTTTGTTGCTTTAAAACTGTATTTATGGCCTTCATCAGTTTTTTTCAACCAGTGTGCCTTGAGATATTATTTGGTTTGCCTTTCAAATTCAATATCACGTAAAATGGTAAAAAAAAAAATCTTGGAAAAAATAGTACTTTTTTTCATTGTGCTAATTTGTTTGAAAATTCATTAAACTTTATTTAGAAAGACTTTGTTTATAAAGGCCAGACAGTTTAATTTTTGTTTCCATTTCAGCTGGTGGTGGTGATATTGCCTTTGACAATTCAAATCCAAAATAAAAATAATAATGCATTTTTTTTTTTTTTTACAGCGTTAAAACCGTTTTTTACATGTAATTATTCATTCACGCCATACACTGTGGCGTTAAACTACTACTGTAGCCACAGCTGCCCTGGGGCACACTGACAGAAGCGAGGCAACCACTCTGTGCCATCAGCCCCTCCCCCCTCAGGGGCACACACCAGACTCATTCTAATGTGGGGGAAGTGTCTTGCCTAAGGACACAATGACAGAAAACCACTGTGGCACTGGTTTTCCTAGAGGTCTGATGGGATCTGGCTTCCACATGCAGGTTTGGCCGATATTATAATAGATCCATGAGTTATTATGGCCACACTAATAAAATTTTATGGTTTAGTAATGGCCGTTCTATTGCTACGAATCACGACAAAGATTCTGAGGTCCTGTTTATAAACTTTGAGCTCTGTTTGTGACTATCTTAAGTTCTAGTTTGCGTCAATAAAAATCAAGTATTATGTTGTTTAGTTCACTCACCGGTCTGACACAAGTCTCCTCCATATGAAGGCAAGCAGAGGCATTTGATCCGTCCATTCTGCTCTGTACACGTCCCACCGTTCAGACAGGGGTCATTCAAACAGCCATCTGAAAAGCAAAGCAACACACATCTATAAGAAGCCTATTCCTTGCTTTTTGGCCAAGATTTCTTTGCACCGAACTAAATGCATAAACTAACAGGGAAAAATGTATTATGTTCGTTTTGAAAGTGGGATCTCATCCAAACATGACCTAAGACAAGTGTCATGACTGTGGAGCCAACAGGTGGCAGCAAATGACAACACAATGAAGAAATGGCCGAGTATCCAACGTCCTGTGCCTTTCTAACTACATCACAGATAATCCCAGTCATTTTCACCAGGATTTAGTCTCAAAGAAAAATTATATATGTTTTATCAAGTCTCTTTTGTCTCGCTGCAAGATGTTTTCTTGGGACCACACAGAGGTTTAAGCAGTAAACCACTTTAATTATGTCTTAATCTATTCGAAGGAGTTTTTTTTACCTACATCCAACTTACCGTGCACTTTTTATACCCATTTACAGGGGGGGCAAACGGTTTATAAAGAGGGTTGGGGCACATCTAAATACAGTTAAAAGTCGGTATAAGTTGTATTTGTTTCTTTTTGCATCCTGTAAACAAGACGTCTGTGGCATCTATCATTAAACCCAACACATGTTTTTTAGGCCCCTTTTGGGAGAGTGGTGATTTGGGAAGGTAATCACTGCTTTCTACAGATGTAATGACAATATTGTGACTTCTGTGTAAAGTTACTGTCACTGCAAATGCATGTTGTAGGTACTTTCTTAGGTTTTCAGTTTGTAGACTAGGCACGCAAAGAAACCGCTGAAGCTGCGTGGTCTGCGTGGTCCTCAGCAGGCGCAAATATGCTCCACGTTATTTGCAAGAAGGAAATGGCTTGTCTGTGATTTTAATGACTGGGTGAATGGCAGCAGGCCCAGATAAAGGTCACTGCTCATTACATTACTTTTATTGGAGGAGCTGGATATTCAGTGTGAAAGCAATTATAAAAGCATGTGCAGAAGAGCCTAATAGATCCATATATATAATACAAATACAAATTATTATAGCTACAAGTGGATAGGGTTTGTTGTTACTATGAGAAAGGGTAAAATCAATGTAGAAAAATATTGGTTCTGGCTTGGATACAGTTTTATAGGTGAAAATATATCCACTTGTATAAACCAGCAATCCACAACCTCAGCAAGAAAATATGGTGGAAGATTCATTTGTGTAATAAAATACTGGTCTGACCACATTTACTATCTAAAATTTACATTATTGGGATCCTTCTCATCTGCAGCATGTTCAGAATAACATGTCCTCAGTACATAGAGAGAGAGATTTCTTGTACTGGGACTGAGGTAACACCCCATTCACTCCAATGCCTATCGAAAGACTGTGTGCGCTGGAGAAGCTGCTTTGTACAAGATGAGACAAAAACAAATGCGGAGAAGTTGGCTTTATCAATGTCACACCTGAAAAGACAGTACAAATGTGATATGAAAGAGATGGATCTATTCAGAACATCATGTGGCCTACGAGAGTCAAACACATTAGTGCTGCTGCTTATTTACATCTCAATAACTTGTGCTTTTGCAACAAACATGGTGAGAAAAATTATAAACAAGACTTGTGGTTAGTGGTGTCATAATAATTAGACTGTATATGGAGAGGATGTAGCGACGGTGAAAGCTGAAGTAAGTTGTTTAGAGCATGGAGCAATTGTTTTTTTTACTGATCGACATTTAGCAGGAGGTTGTGGCTTTGATGCTCGAGCCAAAAACATGGATTAACGAGACGGCGAACCCTCCTTTGTCACAGTGGGGTGTTTTTAGTACTTCCCCCAGTACCAAGAAACATACAAACAATATGTTACAAGAGTTAGATCGTGTTGGCTTAGTGATTATGGCCATTGTTAAAATATCATCGTATAGGTTGATCAAAAACTGCAGATTTATGGAAAAATATGGCAATCATTGTGCTAAGGTTGAAAGAGAATTTACGGATGTTATTAATAAACATAAACATTGAGCTCTGTTTCTCTACATCCATCCCGTGTATACAGCCTACATAAAGTCAGTCGTCGAAAAACATTCATTCATTTGCAATCAGTGCTGGTAACATCAACACAAAGGCTTTTACATTCAACTTCATGTCTTGAGACTTAAAAATTGTGTGGTATGTTTTGACACAAGTTAAGTTCAGTCATCCGGCTAAAACAAGAACACACATTCTATAAACTATCACAATACTTCACAGAAGTCAGATTTGGGTCAAGGTGAAGGGAGACATCATGCGTGAGGGAAGACTGTCCCACAAGTGAGTATCTTTTAGATGAAGTGGTGAAGGAGTCAATTTGAGAAGTAAAAGGGGTGTGAAAGCAAGGCAGACAATTAGTACGTCATTGTGTTGGGGAGCAAAAGGAGGACAGTGAGGCCGAAGAGACATACTGGAACTTTACCTGAAATCTTCCCTGTCCCGCCTATAGCTGCCCTCTCTACGGGTAAGACATGCAGTGAAGGAGGCGGAGTCAGACTAAATGTGTGGTCCGCCCGGCCACTATCCACGGGGGGGATGTGCACTGTCACGGTTTGGGGGGATGAGGTCTCGCGGTTCACTTTTGGGGAGGCAGTTGTCCAAGGAGTGCGCCTGGTCCAGTACGGTCTGGCTGTCGTGGTCTTGGCGGAGTTATTTTCCAGTGTCGAGGGATTTCTGTTATATTCAGGATTCTGTGCTCTGGTCGTGGTGCTCCAATGGATGATATGTGAATCATTTGAAGAAGATGTGGGGTAGTCGATGTCATTAGTGGGCATCTCCAAAAGCTCTTCGTCAGTGACTACCAGAAAGTCTTCAGTCGCAAGGCTTTCAAAGGTTGGACTCGCAGTTATGTTTTCTTGGGGGACTTCGTTGTCTTCGTCAATTGTTGAATTTCCCGTTTTTTCCACATCTTCAAGAATTGCATTTTCGTCTTCCAGCGAGGCCAGGTCATCTTCACTTGTTGGAGTAATGCCGTCTTCTACAGTTGGCTTGGGTTCATCCAAATATGCGATCACGGTTTCGGGCTCTTGTCCACTTGCCTCTTGGAAAGCATCGGTCACGGACACCAGATACTCCCTGTAGTCTGGCTTCATCGACGAATAAGACACTTCTGGAGTTTCAGTGGTGCCGAAACTTAAACTGGACTCTAAAAGGTTTTCTGAATGGGTTGTGATTAGTTTTATTTCTTCACTCTGAACCATTGCTGCCTCTTCAGACTCGACACTTTCATTTTGCCGGATCATCTCTGTGAGCGGTGACGTGGTTAAATTTAGGACTGTTTGTTGGGTTGGCGTCTCCCTGGGTCGGTCAGAGGGGATAGGTGCCGATGTTGGAAAATCAGCAAGAACCGTCAAAGTTGCTGCATCTGTGTCAATCTCTGCAAAAGAAAAGGCAGAAATCATATTAACATTTGCAAATTTTGGTATCAGGGTTACTATTATATCCTTGATTATGGGTATTATTTTAATTATGCTATTCATGATAACATTGGTGATTTTTTTCTTTTTCTATCTATCTATCCATTTCAGAATAATGGGAATTATCTACATCCACGGTGAATTGCAATTTCAAAGTTTATTATGTACTTTGTGTGTTATCTTTATGGGAAAGAGTGCTCAAGTGTTTTATGCAGAAAGTAAGTAATGTTTATTTATATACCGCCTTTCACAGACAAGGGTCACAAAGCGGTTTACAATTGTTATTATTTTTTTGGGCAATTGTCCTCTCACTCCACACAGAGATGGGAGCGGGATCGCCGAACAGGACGCGCATGCCAGATCTATTGTACATATTTTTAGTGGTAGGGGAAACCGGAGTACCCGGAGGAAACCTACGCAGACACGGGGAGAACATGCAAACTCCACTCAGAAAGGCCCTGGTCCGACCAGGATTCGAACCCAGGACCTTCTGAGAGGTGAGAGTGCTATCCACTCAGCCACCGTGCCGCCCTTTCTTTTGAGAAAGAAGCCAACACAGCCGGAAACAGCAGATTTTCTTTTACATTTTTTACCAATGGGATACTACCACAACATTGCTTTTCTTGGACTGAACAATTCTTAGCTTTTAGAATCTTGCACAACTAATTTTGGATCATACTAAATTTCGCTCTGTATTGATAAAGAAACATATTTGAGTTGTTGTACCTTGGGACTCATCTCCGGAGCCATCTTGAGAAATCCACGCTCTCAGATCCTCAGTAGAAGACGTCACCGCTTGAGTTGGTTCCGCCAACATGTCCTCTTCTTCTGGGGCCTCTGTCAAGAGTGACAGGTCTTCGCCATTCGACTTCTGATGCATTATGGGTAGTGTAGTTGTGTTAGCCTTCTCCATCATTATTTCCTCAATACGACCAACTTCAGACTCCTCCTTGTGCATTATGGGTAGTGTAGTTGTGTTGGCCTCCTCCATCATCACCTCCTCAATGGAACCAACTTCAGACTCCTCATGGTGCATTATGGGTAGTGTAGTTGCATTTGTCTCCTCCATCATCACCCTCTCAATGGAATCAACTGTAGACTCCTCATGGTGCATTATCGGTAGTGTAGTTGCATTTGTCTCCTCCATCATCACCTTCTCAATGGAACTAACTTCAGACTCCACATGGTGCATTATGGGTAGTGTAGTTGCATTTGTCTCCTCCATCATCACCTTCTCAATGGAATCAACTTCAGACTCCTCATGGTGCATTATGGGTAGTGTAGTTGCATTTGTCTCTTCCATCATCATCTTCTCAATGGAACCAACTTCAGACTCCTCATGGTGCATTATGGGTAGTGTAGTTGCATTTGTCTCCTCCATCATAACCTTCTCAATGGGATCAACTGTAGACTCCTCCTGATGAATTGTGGGTAATGTAGTTGTGTTGGCCTCTATCCTCACCTCCGCCTCAGTGCCATTAACGAGCGACTGCTCCTGATGCATTGTGGGCATTGTAGTTGTGTTGGCCTCCTCCATCATGTCCTCCTCAGTGGGATCTTCAGAACTATCCACTTCAGTGCTGTTAGTTTGCATTTCCTCTTCCATCTCCGCCGGTTCTGTCGGCTCGTCTATGAATGTGGTTGCATTTGCGATGTCAGAAAGTTCAGTGGCGTTTTCAAATTGATTGGCCGTAGAAGTTAAATTAAAAACATGTTGCATCTTATTGCTAATTGAGCTGTTATGAGTCAAGCTTGTCGTAGATATGTGTATTGTTGTAGTTTCATTTTCTGCCGCATCAGAAGTTGAGTGAACCCTTTCTTCTGTGTCACTATTCTCACTTTCTTCAAGGATTGTAGCTGTATCTTCCTCATCTAAGAACTGATCGGCAATATCTGCGGATGTTGCGTTACTTAAATCATTTGCATCTTTAGTTGTTATGTTGTGGCTAGACTCAGTTTTGTTTGCTCTTGGAGGCGTTTTCTGCTTGACCGGAGCTGAAAAAAGGGAAAATGTCTCGAGAAAGCTCATGGCCTCTCTTTCCACTTGCTCAGTGCCGTGCAGCTGCAGCTCTTGGTCCTTTTCTGTGAGAATAACCACACTCTCCCCGATGTCCTCCGACTCAGCAGTCGTGGAGTGGATGGCAGAAGCAGTGGGAGAAAAGCCATTACCTGCAGAGGACAAAGAAAAGTGACAACGAGAAATGACTAATGACTTTGAAACGCACAAGCAATTCTTACATTCTGTTCTTAACCTTTTGTAAGAACATTGAATAAAAATATAAACACAGCTTTTTATTTTTTGCTCTGATTTGTCATGGGTTCAACCAAAACATCCCACTTTGCCTGAAGCCCCCGCTGAAAGACCACTTCTAGGATTAGTAACCTAGAAATGGATTTAGGGAATGAAAATGGGTGAATGGATATACAGTATTTTCAATCAATGGACCCATCTCTTCTACCGTTTTTTTCTGACTATAAGCCGCAGCAATTTTCCTGCATTTTGAAGGCTGCGGCTTATAGTAAGGTGCGGCTTAATTATTATCATTATTTTATTTTTGTGTTGCCGGGTAGTAGACCAACAGAAATGATGAGTAGCTCACAGAAGTCCATTTAAATTGTGAGATTTGTCAATCAAGCAGATTAATTAAAGTTTAAAAGTCCTCTTAAAATATATTTATGTTGCTCCTTTCTGCTTTACACTGGAATATGAAGAACAGTCAGTGACTCGCTTCTTAGTTTTTTAGTGACAGTAACGAGAAGACAAGATCAACGTTTTTGAGCAACATTTTTCAATAATACAATGATCCATTGTAATCCAGTGCGGCTTGTACAAGTACAAAATCCAATTTCTTTCTAAAAATTATATAGTCCTGAAAATACAGTAGATTATGTTCACAAATGTGTTTCGGTGAGCACTTGTTCCATGAGACAATCCATCCCATCTCACAGGTGTGGAATATGAAGATGCTGATCAGACAGAATGAATCCTGCACATGGAGGCTGACCAGAATATAAGGCATTCTATGACATGCTTTTTGTTGTTTTACTTTGTTGGTTGGGTACATGGGTAATACTGCTGCATCCACAGTCAACGAAGTCAAGGCTGCAATCTAACCCCACACAGGGGAGAACAAACACAAATCTTTACCGCACCTCTGAAGCAGTAAACATCGTGGAGACGCGATGGTTCGGGGAATCCGGTCTGGTTGCTGAAGCGGTACACGGTTTTGACTCCGGGCTGCGAGCCTCCACAGCGCTCCCTGGGGGTAATGATGGGGTATCGCACGCTGGCGTCAGAGAGCCACCCGGGACTGCAGCGGTCCATGCCCTCGCTCCAGGCCAAGTAAAGCTGAGCCGTGGAGGCCAGCTCAGCTCCCAACTCACTGCAGAGTGCCCGAGCCAGAGGGAAAGACAGCTGCTGCGGGATGGTCTCAGCAAACACCTCACCTACAACACACATTAATTTTAACTTGGATTCATGAGAAAGTGGTTCCATTTTTGGTGTAGCTTTTTACCGTGCATGTGATCGATAAAGCAGTACACATCATATAAGCTGCTTGGGTCCATTGTGCCATAGTTTCTCACACCGGGAAGCCCATCCATGTCTCCATAGCAACCTTCACGAGGCATTTGAATTGGGTACCTGAAAAAAAGTAATCGTGGTTGTTATTTAAAGCTGGTGTATCAATCTATCAATCACCCACTCCCATACAAATACATGTTGTTTGTCCAGACAGAAAAAGTCTTGTTAAAGTAACATTTGGTGAACAAAATCTAATCATGCTACCTTCATCTTAACATTTGATATTTTACAGAGATTGTGAGGTGTGATACTTTTGGCTTAGAGCTGATTGGTACTTCTGTTCTAAACATGTGACAGAGGCCAATATCCATGTGAAAATGTTTTGTCGTTTGAAATTTATGATGGGTATCTCAGCTTTAATGAGAAAAGTATGTAAGTTAAAGATAAAGTAAGGAGATGAAGTAGTAGCAGTCAATGAAAGATGTAAATAATTCTTACCTGACGGATTGGTCTGCCAGCCAGCCTGCGTCACACTGCTCATATCCGTCATGATAAGCTGCGAGGAGATGATCGGGAGAAGCGACCTCTGCCCCGATCGCCTCACACGCCTTTTGGGCCTGAGGGAAGGAAAAGGCATAACGGCCCATCGCATCTCTGTAGTGGAAGACGACGCCTAAGACATGAAACAAACATAGTATCAATTAGCCTGACCAACCAGCCAAGGTCTCTGTGACTCCTCCATTTTCAATGTCCCATTTGGTTTATCCATTTTGGAATCACCAGAGCAAAACATCTGCCTTCTAGTTCCACTAAATTGATTTGTGGTGGATACATAGAGTGACTCTGAAGCCTTTTGAAGCTCTCCCATGGACAAATAATGAAATCTTGAGGCGCCTAAGTAGCAGAATTGTTGCATGAAGTCTTGAATACAGCATATTTTCTATACACTAACCTGCCATTTTTCTCACATATTTATTTCCATTATTGATTTCAGTAATCCTTATACTCTCTTATGAAGTTTCAGAAAAGTTTTCACATAACATTGCTAATAAAAAGGGTTAACTGTGGTCAAAGTGAATCTTCATTTTGGTTGAATTTTATCAAACCATAAAACATGTTTGTAATTATCCAGTAATACTCTGCAGATCAGATACTTATAAGAGTATTCACCTTTCACCTGGAGCTGTACGAGGTCACTGGCGTCTTCCAGGCCGTGCTGCACCTCACAGCGGTAATGTCCCGAGTCGCTGGAGCGGAGGTCCGACAGCCTCAACGTCAGGTCTTCCGTGGATGAGGAATAGTTCAGCAGCTCTGCACGGTCCTTAAACGCCTCACTGACCTTCACCCTGTCTCCCCGCGCTACCACAATCTGCTGCTCTCTCCCACCAGAGACCACCGACCACTTCACCCGGGGCTCGATGGAGGACGGCCCCGTAGAGAGAGACATGAGACAAGGGAGGGCCACAGAGCTGCCCAGAGACGAGACGATCACATCGGAGTCTGGGATCTTCACCTGCAGATGTGTGCTGGATTCTGCAGAGAAGGACAAGAAACAAAACCAGTATATTACAGCTCAGATTATGTTCATGTTGTAGAAATATATATTTGTTGGAGGAAAAGGGTCAATACAACTCAAGGGGAAGAAGCCCTTTTTGAAAACAAGGTAATAAAGTAAAAGAAAAATCCTTGATCATTATGTATTCGTTTTCAGATTCTTAAATCCGCTTAATCCATTTCTGGGTCGGGTTCCCAAGTCACAGAGCACCAGCCCCTCACTGATCCTCCTGCAGCTGGTGAGTCCACAGGAGGATGGCTGCTCTGTCTGTGAGAGCATAGTTGGGTTGAGTGTCTGGCTCAAGGACACAACGACAGCAGACATCAGTGGGAGTCGATGCGGAAGGTCTCGTGGTGGGATCGAACCCAGGCGAACCCTTCAGGCTCAATGCTCAACCAACTGAGCCACAGATGTCTCGAAAAACACAACCTATTACCCACAATCAATATTTTTGATAAATTAAGTGCGTATTAAAGAGATAAGAAAGCATAACAAAGTAAGTGAGGTGAGACGCTGGTTCTGTTGTATTCTTTGTTGTTTGAAAAAGATTTTGCATGTCGGTATTTTTTGTTGCCATCAAGAGAAATGTGTTCTTTGCATCAGTACTGAATGAGTGTGCAGGGTCCAGGTCCAGGTCTAGATCAATGCAGAGAGAAGCTGTTTCGAGCCGTAGGTCATGTCTATAATAACCTGCAGATGACCCAAGCTGGCATGTGACGCACACTCTCTGCTGCCATTGCCAAAAATCCGTCATGAATTATTCAAGGTACAGTTAGTAGAACATTGACTGAATTATTGATTTGAGATTGTATTCAAAACCAAAGAAAAAAAAACAACTCCAGAATTTTAATGCAAGTGAGAAGAAGGGAAAAAAAAGTGTTGTTATTGGTCCTGTCTTCTCCGTCACAACACACACTAGCTCGAACCTTAACCCATTATTGAAATTAACCCTTTAGGCGCCGGGGTTTTTTGTTCTTGTTAAGAAATGGATTGTTAAAAAAGAGAAAAATGCCCTGTAACTTAATAAATGATAGTGGACGACTTTAATTAATAATTTAAATACATAGAAAAAACGCTGTTAGAAAAATTTACAGAGACGATCGTGGGAAGCAAAGTCGCTGTATAGAAAGTGATCTGGATTTAAGAGCTTGTGTAGCAATTCCGCTTTGGCGCCTATAGGGTCCATATACACAAACCACAAACAAACTTGAGTCTTGAGAATTGTCTTGCAGTGCCTTAACTTCAATATTTGTATGTATGTATTGTCATTTTTTATTATGTTTTTAATATTTTAAGCAAGGGACCAATGCACATTTTCCTTTTAGATCAATAAAGTATCTATCTACCTATCTATCAAACATGGTAATAACCTAAACAGAATGTGTAGCTTAACCGGACAATTCTCACCAAATGGCGGCAGTGTGAGGGCAGGAAAGGCCAACGACAGACGCCACAGCGCACAGAGCAGGGACAGGGTTTCCACGTTTCTGCAAAACAAAAACAGATTCAACATGGAGCTATTGTACATTTATTGACACATACTTTTATATATTTTTTCTATGTGTTTATTTGAATATGGACACTGCTCCACTCAGCGGCTACACCACCTGCTGCTGTGACCTGAAGTCCTGTTGCATTTTAATACTATTTTCAGCTACTTTTAGATCTATATATGTATTTGTTTTGTTGGCTTGGATGGATGTGTTACGGGGATCAATAAAGTATCTATCTATCTATCTATCTCAGTGTGCCGGGGAACATTAGTGTGCCTTGAGATGTTATTCAGAGATCCAATATCACCAATTTGGGCAAAATAATGTGAAAAAAGAAGGTAAAAGGAGAATAGAAATACTTCTGATTTTCTATGTAATACACTTTGATGAGAATGGCTTTGCTTCGTTAATGAAGGCTGCAGAGTGACACTAGTTTGTATCAGTTTCAGCGGGTGGTGTACCATGAGATAGTTTTAAATGAAAAAGGTGTGCCACGGCTCAAAAAGGTTGGGGAACACTGCTCTATCTATCTATCTACCTACACATAAATCAACATTACTGTAAATATGCCAGTATTAGTTTTACAGCTAGATTCCAACTGAAGTCCCAAGGCAAGGAGTAGAATCCAAGCAAAAAACACCACAAAAATGTCAATAAAATACAGTAAAACACTTTATTATTCATGTTTAGATTGCAATTTTACACACACTTAGCCGCTGATAGTTCCGGCTCAGGTTAGGTCAGGAGCGCGGCACACTTCGCTGATCAAACCAAATCTATTTTATTCCATGATTGAAAAGTCAGCGGCAGATATCTCCGACACTTCCAGGAGAGCAGCTAAATAATTGCCCTTCTGTTTGCATTATGAATTATTGACATCAATATTCAGAGCCACAGCTACGTGATATTGCCCTTGATAATTTATACGAGAAAGTCAATCCACTGCGCTGCTTGAAAGCCGAGCATTACCAGACTTTTATAACGTCTGGGGCTAAAAGAGAATGCCCAAAACAAATTGTGGATAAGATATACATTTATAATACATATATATATAATAATATGTTTAGTTTAGTGTTTGATTCTAATGAAAATACTTTGATACCACATTGATGATTTAAAGGCATATTTTTTGGACATTAAGCTGCAATTTAAGGTATTTTCTAGTTCTGAAATAGATCAAAAGGATCAAAAAAAGTCACAAAGAATCTCGTTTTAATGTGAATTCTTCAATATTGATACTTTCTCAAATGAGTGTCTTGTTTTGACAACTGTAGTTTTAGATTAGAACTAGGTTTATATTAACTTTAGTTAATTAAAATAGCTGTGTTTGCACTTGGCGAGGGTTTGGTGGTTTTGACTATTTTCAACTCATTCCAACTGTCCCATAAAAACAGCTGTGATCAAAAAGTGTTGTCCTTCAAATGTCAAAGTAAATTTATATCGCATCACAATGGGTGAAAGAATATTGATTTTCTTCATCCCGTAGTCCCGTAAAAAATGTCAGTAAAGCAACATATTGAGCAGATACATGTTAAGTTGGGTGTGGGCGACAGTAGCTCAGTTGGTAGAGCATTGGCCTTAAGGCCAGAAGGTCGTGGGTTCAATTCCCACCTCTACACCTTCTCCACCGACTCCCACTGATGACTGCTGTCGTTGTGTCCTTGGGCAAGACACTTAACCCCACTTTGCCCAAAAGCCCCCACTGAAAGATCAAGGCTATGCTCACACTCAGAGAGCAGCCGTCCTCCTGTGGACTCACCACCTGCAGAGGGTCAGTGAGGGGCTGGTGCTATGAGACTTGGGTGGCATCTCTGATTGCCACCCCCCTGACCCAGAAATGGATCAAAGGGAAGAAAATGGATGGATGGATGTTAAGTTAAAAATCATGTTACATTGGGAAGTACAGGTGGAAAGCATTTTTTTACCCTTAAAACTTTACTCTTCTAAACTTGAGATATCATTGTACATTCTAAACTATGAAATGACAATGAAATTAGTCTCATTATGATTTTTAATGAACGAAAAACCCGAATATTTCTTCTTTAAAACAGCAGCACCATATTTGCTGTCATAACTATTATATGATATTATTATATGACAGGGGCTTCTGGATGTTGAGAGCAGTTTGGTCCAGTGGTTCTTCCCCCCCTGATCTTCTGCTGCTGTAATGACACCGCTCTGAGGCTGTCATTAACCCACTGTAGCAGCAGCAGCAGCAGCAGCAGCAGCAGCAGCAGCAGCAGACGACCTCACACAACCCCTCTGTCTACACCAGAAAGTACCCTATAGATCCATGGAAAGTACTGAGAGACAAAAGTAACTGTTCATGTTGTGACTACATTGTTACAGCTTCTTTTTCCCTAGACTGAAATGTCGCAGCTCTCTCACCTACACAGCAAAAGTTAAGTCATAAATACATTTTGTTTGTCGCAGCAAAAAAGTGTTGTGAACAAAGACCACGACATTCTGTAATTATCTTATTAGAACACACAGGCGCTGATACTGACCCAAACATGTGGCCAAAAACAGTTATTAGGAACGGTTTGAATGGATTTAAATTATTACATTGCTAGGGTTAGAGTCCGGTAACTTTTGTCTCAAAGTTTGGTGCTCCAGTGTTTTAAAGATGCTCAAGGATTCTTGCTTGTCATCGTGAAACGTTACTGTATTTTGTAATATTTTTACAATACTTAAAGAACTTAGAAAGAATGTGAGAAAATGAAGGAAAAACATGTATTTATAAAACATATTTGACTCTTGAACGGCAGCCCAATATTCTGCACATAATGCAATAAAAGACACTTAACAGATATAGAGCAAATGGAAAAGTCTACTTAGAACGTCCCAACAACTGAGTCCGAGGTTTAGTCGTTGGATTGAAATATGTCCAGGCTGTGCATAAATAACATCTCATTCTCAACATGTGGACCTTCTCAAGCGTTAGACCCTGTCAGTAAATATCTTTATCTAAATGGAAAGTTTATCATTGAGTGGGTAAATGAAGCTATGCACATGCTTTTGTCTACATATTGTTGCAGTGCAGTGTTCATGGTTTTGCACGGGTCCAGACCGGAGCGGATTCGTGGTCCGAAACAATCAGAAAATCCACTGGAGGAATGCTAACTTTATGAAAAATGCTAATAAAGCATTCAGCATTTTACTTTGGACCAGAGCAGAGAAAATGGTCCGAACCATGCAGCTCCATCTCTGCTGCTGGAACCTGAAGTGCTGTTTATTATTACGATTTTTAGCTTTTTCAGATGATAATAATGTGTGGATGAATGTGTTTTTGCTGCTACTGGACACCTGCAATTCTCCTACAGGGATCAATAAAGTATCTATCCATCTATCTATGGGCCATGTATCGGTTGAGACAATATTTTACTAAATGGAAAAAGCCATATATTCATTCAATCAACACAAGAGATTTTTGTCTTTTTGATCGATGATGAAAGAACACAGGATTACATCACAGATAGCTCATTTGTCCAGCTCCGTCTGCGATGAAAGAGTGTTTTTGGTCGTTTTAGTTTCGCTCTGACTCCCTTGGTAACTGTTGTCCACCACACTATCATATCACTTTCTCAACAAACGAGACAAAAACGCCAAATCGTAGAGCCGCCGCCGCATTGGAGCCGGCACCAAACAAGCATGGATATTGTCTCCATGTTGCGTATAATAAATGCCTGGACACTGCTAAATAAGTGGGACCTTTGACGGCTGAATGAGAGCTGTGTGTCCATTGGCCAGCTGGGCAGACTCCACACGCCGCCATCTCTATTAGTATGCCCCACAGAAAAGGCTTTTTACAGAGCCAGCCGCGCTCCGCCTATACAGCTGCTGTGTGGGCTTTCACTTCCAACCCACGGCTTCACAAAAGGGCTCAAGGGAAAATTAAAGGACAAGTCACTGGCACACTCGCATGCCGTTCCTCTATTGGCTTTCTGTCACTCTTTTCAATGATAGGAAAGGAAGTTTTAAACCACTAAGAGTTGCTTTTGGTGCTGCACAGAAAGAGCAGGATCTGGTCTGAAATATATGACTTTGTTTCCTGATTGACTAAGATGGAAAAAATGCTAGTGTGTCATTATACCTGATTATTTGTGACCCCTTTTTTTAGCTGAGTGAATGAGATTAGGAAATGGCTTCTTGTAATGAGACTGACAGTAAAAGGCTGGAAGAATTTAAGGCTGTTTTTGTGTTAGATCATGATTTTTTTTAAAGATCTGAACGTTTTAAGCAAGAAATTAAACTAAAAACTCACATTTTAGCCCGGGTTTTTCAACTTTTTCTCTCTCTCTGATGTAGAATGTAAACTTCATGCAGTAGTTACCATGACAGACCATTAACGGAATGAATTAAATTATCATATTGAGTATACAAAAACAGTTTAGTTTGATACCAGATACATTTATACTGAAAATATCAATGATATCAAGACAGAAAAGAACCATAAAAGACATAAACGTAATAAACAGACAACAAGCTAAAGAATGGTTTTGCTTTTATCAGAGCCAGATGAGACTCTTTGGTAAAACTAAAAGAAGTTCTAATACTTTGATGACAAGCAATGTTATTTGAATAATATTATAGAATCAGAATTAGTATTAGTATTATTTATTGATTTGTTTGTAAAGGGCCAATTTCCATCAATACAACATTGTGTTAGTAAACAAAACAAAAATACAGTAAAGATTAATAACGTTTATTTACAGTAATGATTATTTTCTAGTGCTTTTCAATTGTTGTTGGCATTTTTCACACAGAGATGGGAGCGAAATTGCCAGTACAGGAAGCACACGCGTTATATAGATATTATTTACATCCCAGACCTATTGGACACGGGGAGAACATGCAACATTCACTCTGCCTTGTTCAAACCGGGATTGGAACCCAGGATATTCTTGCTCTTGCTGCAAAGCGAGAGGGCTAACCACTCAGCCACTGTGTCACCGGTGATGCTTAAATAGAGTATCTTGCTGTTAAAATGAGAC